CATTCGGCTATTCTGAAGAAGTTCAGATTGAGGGCTTTGGCAACCGCGGTTCTCGAAAGTATAAGCACGAGGAACCGAAGTACGACCAGGAGTATAAGCACGAGGAGCCGAAGTACGACCAGGAGTATAAGCACGAGGAGCCGAAGTACGAACAGGAGTATAAGCACGAGGAGCCGAAGTACGAACAGGAGTATAAGCACGAGGAGCCGAAGTATGAACAGGAGTATAAGCACGAGGAGCCGAAGTACGAACAGGAGTATAAGCACGAGGAACACAAGTACGAGCCGCACGAATACGAATACTTACGATACAAGAGAGGCATCCCAGAGCCCCATAAGCATGAACATCAGAATAAGTTGGGAATCATGGGCTACCGTGACGCTTATTTGAAATATGGTGGAAAATTCTACGGAGGTGCAAACGAATATCAGCCTGTTGCAGCCAAGAAATTCGGCTATTCCCAAGAAGTTCAGATTGAGGGATTTGGAAATCACGGTTCTCGAAAGTATAAGCACGAGGAGCCAAAGTACGAACGGGAGTATAATCACGAGGAGCCAAAGTACGAACCGGAGTATAAGCACGAGGAGCCAAAGTACGAACCGGAGTATAAGCACGAGGAGCCAAAGTACGAGCCGCACGAATACGAATACTTACGATACAAGAGAGGCATCCCAGAACCCCATAAGCATGAACATCATCAGAATAAGTTGGGAATCATCGGCTACCGTGACGCTTACTTGAAATATGGTGGAAAATTCTACGGAGGTGCAAACGAATATCGGCCTATTGCAGCCAAGAAATTCGGTTATTCTGAAGAAGTTCAGATTGAGGGATTTGGTAATCGCCGTTCTCTAAAGCACAAGCACGAGGAGCGAAAGTACGAGCCGGAGTACAAGCACGAGGAGCGAAAGTACGAGCCGGAGTACAAGCACGAGGAGCGAAAGTACGAGCCGGAGTACAAGCACATGTGAACTCGTCAGATCTAGTCTAATTGTATTGCTTTTTGTACGTTTACTTAAATAATTTTGGGTTCAGCTGTTCTTTTTGCCTTGGAAAACATTCGCAGAACACTCACATCATCGCAGAAAATCTTTCCATATTCGCCTGCGCAATCAGCACATACGAAAAACTTTGCTACTAGAGTTGTTTTTCCGCAATCTATCGAAAACTAGTCAAAATTTGGATGTATCATTACTTTCAGATCCTGGTATACGTGAAACATTTGATACTTAGATATCCCCAGAATTATCAACATACCTACCTTTCAGCGAAGTCATCTAATTTCGGAACCAAAAACCTGTCAATCTTGAAATCCGATGCCGTTTGTACCTTATTAACCGGTATAAGGCACTTCTCTGTTCTATTCACTTGACACTTCGTCCAACCGGAAAATAGTAAGCTTCATTTCCTTCTTCTTTGAACCTGTTCCTAGTTGAAATGCTTTACTACTATAATTTTTCTCAGCCTACTACTACCCACTATCCTCTCATACAACTTTATCCCCTATGAAACCCGAAAAAGGTGGAGAAATACAAATATCAAGAAGCTCCACTGAACTATTTCTGAAATTAGAACGTGAAAAGCAAACTGGAACAACGCAACCATCAGCGGGAATATAATCTGATGTCCGAAACAACACTCAAAATGCGCAAAACCTCAGTACGAATCATAAGCTATTACCTGGAGTACTCAAGACAAGCGGAAAACCTACATATCCTAAACATACATAAAAAAACGTTCGTGCCAAAGCATCCAAATTTATGTAGCAGTCCTTTC